AAACTTCCCCAAACTAAAGGCACATCCATACAGATAAAATTAAAACAGAACCTCAACTAGACAAAACCAGAAGAGAAGCTCCCTAGAGAGTATCAGAGACAAAACACCATAACAGAGAACAAATCAAAGTATTGAAGTATACAAGAGGAAAAAGCACAAGTCACATAAAAAGGAAAACTTACCAGAAGATCAGTGGAAGCTCTGGAAGCCAAAGGAGCCTGGAGCAATGCATTATAAGTTTTAAAAAGCCATGGCAACCAACCTACACTACTGTACCCAGAAAAACTTTGTCATGCTTAGTGGGGGAAAAAAAACTTTCCACGATACAAGCAGACTCAAAATATCCACATCCAAGGGGGGAAAAAAGGATGATGAGACTACTGGAAGCAATACTTTGAGCAGATGAGAAGACTACATGCAGCCAACAGAGTATAGGAAACAAAACAAATAAATCTATAATTAATCAAATAGAAAACACGACTAAGAATTGCACAGCAAAAAAGAGATAGAAATCAGTATACATTTTTCACAAATAAATTTAAATATTCATAGCTTCAACTTGTCAATCAAAATACATAGATTAACCTAATGAGTTAAGAAACAAAACCTATCTTTTTCTTGTCTATCAGAAATTTATCTTAACTTTAAAGATAAGCACAACCTTACTGTGAAAAGATGGAAAAGCACAGTCCAAGCAAGTACTATCATCATCCTAAATATGACAAAAATAAACTTCAAACTGAAACTAGTCAATAGAGGCAAAGAAGGGCACTTTGTTCTAATCAAGGGATCAATTAATCAAGAAAATATCACAATATTAATTATTCACCAATGCACAAATGGAATTAAAGACACAGATTAACACAAACCCAATAATAGTAGGTGACTTCAACACCCTACTCTTTCCAATAGATAGGTCATCTGGACAAAAAATAAGCAGAAAGCTCAAATTATTACTGGCTTGCTTCCCATGGCTTGTTCAGCTTGTGTTCTTATACAACCAAGGACCACCTGCCCAAGTGGTACCACCCACAGAGGGCTGGGCCCTCCCACATCAATCATTAATCAAGGAAATGCCCCCACAGACATTCTCCCTGAACCAGCTGAGGCAATTTCTCAACTGAGTTTCCCTCTTCTCAGATATGTCTAGGTTTGTGTCAAGTCAACAAAAACTAATCATCAAGGGCTTCAAATTGGCTCAGTGGTTAACATCACTAGATGTCAGAGAACCCAGGTTTGATTTCTAGAAACCCACATGGTTGCTTGCATCATCTGTAACTCCAATCCCAGGGGATCAGACATCCTTTCTGGCCTCCAAGGACACCTGGTATCACATGGTGCATAGACATGCGTACGTAAAAGTACTTATACACATTAAAGACTAAGATAACTTAAAAACTAACCAGCACACTCTATCTTTTATCACTTGTGAGAATTAAATTAAAATGGATTAAGGATTTGAATAGAGCTGAAGTCATAAAACTACTAGAAAAAAGCACACAAAATTTTAATGCTGGTCATGATTTTTTTTGGATCTGAAGAGAGCAAACAGACAAATAGCTTTATGTTGACTAAGAAACTTCACATACCAAGAAAAACAACCAACATATTAAAAGTCAACCTAAAGAATGGGTTTGCAAACTACAGCTAGTCATAGTGACATAGAGCTATGACCCTGGTATTTTGGAAGCAGACTAGAGAATCATGAGTTCAAGACCAACCTTGATTATAGTAATGCCTCTTTATCAAAAACATCAAAGAGGGGGTGGAGAGATGGCTCAGAGGTTAAGAGCACTGGCTGCTCTTTCAGAGGTCCTGAGTTCTATTTCCAGCAACCACACGGTGGCTCACAACCATCTGTAATGAGATCTGGTGCCCTCCTCTGGCATGTATTATTTGTAATAGCTGGAACTTGGAAACAACCTAGATGCCCCTCAACCAAAGAATGGATAAAGAAAACGTGACACATTTACTCATCAGAAAAAAATAACATCTTGAATTTTGCATGCAAATGAATGGAACTAGAAACACCATCCTGAAAGATGAATATGGTAAATCCTCACTCATAAGTGGATAGTAGCTGTAAACAAAGGATACTGAGTCTATAGCTCATGATCCTAGAAAAGCTATGTAACAAAATGAACCCTAAGCAAAACATATAGATCCACCTGGAAAGTCGAAATACACAAGATTGCCTGACAAAATTGGGAGCATGTTGATGTGGGGGGGTGGACAGAAGGTGGGAGGGTAATAAGAGGGGAGAAGGGGAGTGGGGAGGAGAACTTGAGGGAGCAGAATAGTCGAGATGGAGGAAGGACAGAGATGAGAGCAAAGAAAGAGATAGCTAGATTGAAGGAGCCATTATGGGGCTAGCAAGAAACCTGGCTCTAAAGAAAGTTCCAGGAATCCACAAGGATGACCCCAGCTAAGACCCTAAACTGGCCTTGCCCTGTAGTCCGACTGATGAGTATCTTAAATATCACCATAGAACCTTCATCCAGCCACTGGTGGAAACAGAGGCAGAGAACCACATTGGAGCACTGGACTGAGCTCCCAAAGTCAGGTTGAATGAAGAGTAGAAGGAGTGAGAATATGAGCAATGCAGTCAAGACCATGATGGGTTCACCCACTGAAACAGTTTACCTGAGCTAATGGGAGCTCACCAGCTCCAGCCAGACAAGGAAGAAACCAGCATAGGGCCAAACTAGTCCCTCTGAATGTGGCTGACAGTTGCATGGCTAGGTCAAACTAAGAGGCCACTGGCAGTGGCACCAGAACTTATCCCTACTGCTTGTACTGGCTTTTGGGAACCTATTCTCTTTGGATGGATACCTTGCTCATCCTAGATATAGTAGGGAGGGCCTTGAACCTTCCCCCAAGCAATGTGCCTTACCCTCTCTGTGGAGTGAATGGGGGTGTTGTAGGGGCGTAAGTGGAGGGAATGGGAGGAGAGAAGGGAATGGGAACTTGGATTGGTACGTATAATGAAAAAAAGATAATTTGTTTTATTTTTTTTTTTTAAAAATGAAGCAAAGAAACACAGCAAAGCACAAGGGCACATATGCGTGAAACACCACGAAGAAACACAGCAAAGTGCAATGGCACACATGTGTGAAATACCACAAAGAAACGGTATTTTATACACTTACTAAAGCTAATAAATGTCTAGGAAAAGATGGATTTCTGTAAGGTGTATCTAGAAAATCGTCAGTATTTGTGGGTAGTGTAGGAAATGCTGCTGGAGTAGCTTTAGTAGAGATGTGTATGACTCCACAACATGACGATTAAAATAATTATAGAGATGCCATTAGTCTTGACCTTAGTCACACAGCCATGTCATCTATAAGGGAGATTGATAGTGCTCTATCAGAACACTTTACCACAATCAATAAAATTAGCATTCAATAACTTAGGATCAAATCAGACAAAGAATGTCATTCAGAAAATTATCAGCCTCAGTCACAGCCCATTAAAATTTTGCTTAATAAAGAAGTATCTCATTTTTCTTTTCTTTTTACAGCCTAACCCTTTCTCCAGAAAACATTTCAATCAGTGTCTTCCAAACGCAGGAAGCCGGGAGCAATGTGGTGCAGTTGGCTCATGTGAAAACTGTCCGTAGGAGCAGTACCGAGTAAACTTGGGGCAGCAGGAGCACGCTAGAGCAGCTGCTCCGTTCTTTGACATGAGGACCAATGTGAGAAGCAGAGAGACAGTTAAAGAAGATAAACTTTATCCACCTTCGTTATGTAGTAGGGCAAACACTCTCACACCAAGCAATTTTAGTCTTGAGGAGAAAAACTCTGTGACTTCAAAGATCTAAAGTAATTTTGCTGTTTATCTAAAAAATACAAGCAGGATGGGATATTATGAAAATTCAACCTGGGTAGCATGAAGGAACCACCAAGTGTGAAGTCTGAATGACCACAAGCCTCTTAAGTATTGGGGGAAAGTCATGGTGTGGCCAAGGATAGGGAATCTTAACTTTCATCCTTCCTCAGAGTTGCAAGGCATTCGGACTGACCAGTTCTCTGATTTTTAATATTTACATCTATAAAAGATGATTTTCTTTATTTTATTTGAGAGTAAACATTTCATTTCGTATTAGGTTTGTGTCAAGTATGAATAATATATAATAGAAACTGGGCATGGCAGAGTCTGCCTCCAATCGCAAGCACTCAGAGATGGAGGCAGACTCATAAATTTGAGGTCATCCTTAGCTATATAGTAAGAAGATAATCCTAGGAGAAATATGTAGTCAGTGGAGAAACCAAAACAGAATTCATATGACATTAAACCACTCTCAGGGTCACAGAGGACATGGTCCCTTTGCTCTAAGAATTTTCAGTGTTGATTACACCACCATCAACTTGTCAGTGGCTCCTGAGACTGCATCACTGAAGACTGTTAAAACAAAGGCTGCTGCTAAGGAAATTACAGAGAAGCTGCCCTTCTCCCTCCCCGGCCCCCAGCCCTACCGTGAGCATTGAGAATCTCTGACAGGCTAGAAATTTTCCTGTTCCTTAAGACTGCCCATTCTTTGAACAGGGAAAGTGCTGGGAAATCTAGTGTAACTTTAGATGTGGCAGGAAGGAAGGGGACTAAGATTGATCTCATTAGAGAAGGAGCAACAGAAGTCTAGCTTAGCGTCAGGAGAGAGACAGTTGTATGCTTATGTGGAGACTGATGTGAAATGGTGAGATATAACGGGGACAGAACACACGCAAGCTTCCTCATCAGCTATTGCTCCACAAATCTTGCTTCTCTCAAGGACCGATGAATAGCCATCAAAGAGCAAGTATGATATGATTGTTGTGATATATTTTTTCTACATTCTCAAAAATGTATGCAGAGAGTAAATAGAGTTAAATTTTGGAACTTACTTCATTACAGGTGATACTTCAGAAAGGGGAAAAAAGCAATTGGCAATCATTTCTGATAAACCGTTAGTCTGGGGGAACACGAAGCTGGAATCTTCCTGCGGTGGCCGCTCTTTCCTTCTCCTGGCTGTAAGGACAGTTAATAAGACAGTTACTACTTAACAGGAGCATGAAAACTATAGGAAAACACTCACCACTGTCCCCAAAACTAGTATTGTCAAAGAATCCAAACAATATCCATGTGAGAAATAATCCAGTACCTCCCACCCCAGGTTCTAAAATCATTTTAGCACTTTTGCGGGGAGATGCAGCATTCAAACTCTTCTAGAGCCTAAACAATTATTCTTATGTTTGTAGATAAGATAAAATATCTTAAATATATTTTAAAACTCAGTAAGTACAGAATCTATGAAGGAAAGAGACTGAGTCTTAAACATTCCTAGAACTCCCAAACTGATAATGTAGTTTTGCATAAGTTAAATCACTGGGAAATACCTGTTACTGTTAATTGAGACATTTACAGAGGAGAGGCAAATATTATTTATTGAATAAAATTGTTTCAAGATAAATTTGATTCAAACTGCAAAAATAAATAACTCTCCATCTCTCAGAAAATTTTTTTTCTAGCCTAACACAGACCGTGGGTGTGCTTGCTAGTATATAAAGTGAGGTCAAAGGATCCACCACTACAATTCTTCACAGCATTGTCAAAAGCGGTATCAGTTTAACAAGCATCATGTACTAAAACACAATCCTGAAATCTGACTCATTACTATGCCAAACATTTTCAATGTTAAACTAATAGGCATCCAATACCTCTGTGGTCATAATCCACTCCTAGCAAAGGAAAAACAGAAGTCCTGGTAGGAAGAAAGGAATGTTGTGGGGGACGGGGGGCTGGAATGAGGGTGCCAAAGGCTGTTATAAAGTTTTTAAACATTCTACAATTAGATGGAGACAGGAAGTGAAGAAGGAAAGGAGAGAAGAAAGAAAATTAAAAAGAGACGCTGGTATGGCGCTGTGTTCAGTCTGTCAGTCTCCCTTGAGCAAATAGGTATCAAGATACTCTCTCTCCCGTTAACCCGTTAAGGAGAGGGGCACGTTTTCGTGTTTCAAATATCATGCCTCTAAACACTGAGCACTGTGTCTTACTCAGATTTTGGTGACAGTGTTGATTGCCAACTTCGGTAGAAAATCAGTTTGAATGAATGGAATAAATTATGAATAGCTACCAGGGTCATTAAGAACAAGTGTCAAGCAACGAGCATGGGATCATTGTTACCCTAAATCCAAAGGTTTTGCTGCAATCTTGTGTTGCTATGTCACAAAAAAAGGAAATATTATCTGCTCCTGTTATAGCCTATAAGATCCTTTTGGGAATAACTTGCTCCTATTCCCAGTGTTATGTTCTGTAAATACTGGGTGCTTGTTAAGTATTTATATGAGTGAATAGATGTTGGATATTTATCTGAACAATAATAAAAACAAGAAATCTACAATATCTTTGATGTTCAACTGTAAAGGCACACATTTGGTACAACTGGGGTGGATGTTTTAAAATATAAGAATTAATTTTTCTCCTCTAATATAGAAGTTTGTAGGAGTTATCAGTAAGCCCTTGAATAAATTAAAAAATGTTCATTGAATAATTATTTCCTACTAATAACACAAAGAAAACTAAAAATAGCATATGATTTATTATGAACTACTGTTATTCTTATGATAATTCATCACATTTTCTTATTGTGGAATAGAGTATTTGTTTAATATTCTATTAACTGTAAAGATGTATGTGCTATGGAATAGTTGCTTAACTATGGTGTTAAAGATGTATTGCATTTGTTTATGCTGCATTTGCTTAATTATGTAAAAATATGTTGCTTTTTATGCTGAATTTGTGTAACTGTGGAAAGGTGTGTTGCTTTTTATGCCGAATTTGTTTAACTGTGTAAAGATATGTTGCGTTTCTCCTTGCCTGCCTAAGGCACGTGATTGATCTAATAAAAAGCTGATAACAAAAAGTTGCCAATAGCTAAGCAGAGGAGGGGTAGGCAGGGCTGGCAGGCAGAGTGAAAGGGGGAGCCAGCTAGCTCAGTCAGCCAGGGGCCAGACAGACAGACACGGAGGAAGCAAGAAAGCAGGATAGATAGATGAAATAAATGAGCTTAGGGGCAGCACATAGATGAATAGAAATGGATTAATTTAAGTTAAAAAGAAAAAAGCTAGCTAGAAACAAGCCTAAAGCTAAGGTTGAGCACGCATAATTAATAATAAGTCTCTGTGTCATGATTTGGGGGTATGGCAGTCCAAGAAAGCCTGGTATTTTCTTTTGCAGGGTAGACATCTGAGAAAAGTTGCTGAAAACAAATTTCAATGAATGTTAAGTTTTGACATAAAGAAAGGGAGACTTGGCCGAACCAATATCATACTGACATTTCTGAAAAATATGAGTTTGAGTAAAGGAACACTTGGACTGCTTGGAAGTGAGAAAATGGACAGTAATGCATGCCAAAGAGAAAGGTATGGTGTTGGTGTAATTTGTTTACAAAGACTGATTTAAAAAAGCTCAAGGTTCTTATATGTTTGCTTCAACTAGGCAGGAAGGTGGGTAGGTAGGCAGGCAAACAGATAGATGAATAGGTGGCAGATGATATTGTATAGGTAGGTGATAGATCATAGATAGATAGATGACAGACAGATGGATAGATGGTAGATGATATCCTATAGTTAGGTGATAGATGACAGATGGTAGATAGATAAATGATAGATAGAAAGATAGATAGATAGAAAGATAGATAGAAAGATAGATACATAGCTAGATAGATACATAGATATATAGATAGATACATAGATAGATAGATACATAGATAGATAGATACATAGATAGATGCTAGTTTAAAAAACCAGAAAACAGCAAAAACATTAGGAAATGGTTGATGGGGTAGTGGGAAGAATGATCTAAGGAGCAATAACTAAGAGGGCAGGGTTGTCAGGTCATGTCATGCAGACCACTCTACTAGCTCCACCCTTTACCTAAAACATTACAATAGGACTACATCAGTTTTATGCTCCAATTCTAGAACTTGTTTCCTTACACTGCTTCAGAGATCTCAAAAAACCTTCTACCGAAAAAGTCCCAAAACTTACTAAAGAAATACTCCTCACTGCCAAATACAGGAATGGTAAACCAGAGGCACAACCTTGTGTTTTACACTTTGAATCTCCTATTTAGGGTTAATCTGAAATTCAAACAGCAAAGTTGTCCCCTTAAAGTGAAATGATACTGTTAAAATTAATGACAACAATGTAATAGGATCAACATAAAATCCTAATTAGGCTAATTAATTCTGTAATCTAGAGCATTTCAGAATGGTGGGGATGAATAAAAAATTAAAAAGATGAAAGGGGATTAAAAAACGCATTGTCAAGACTTCTTTTAGGAGGAATAAATCTATATCTTGAGACAATGAAACTGAGAAGTTGCATGTTGTACATGCGCATGATTTATGTTTGGTTTGGGTTCTATTTGGCATCTTTAGAAATGTAGAGAATATAGAAAAGTCAGAAAATTTTATACATAAGAACAATACAGATATTTTCACAGAGGCCATGAAGCAGGACACCAGTGGTATTTCTCTGTCTTACCAAACATTGTCAAGTGAGAGGAAAGAGTGCGCATGCAGGCTCCCTGGCTGGGGAGTCTTTAGGTTCCGCTGCCAGCTTCTTCTAACCCTTCTCTCGTCAGGTCCGAACACTCATGACTTGGCACAAGACAGGGATGAGAAATCATACGGCAATAACAACATTCATCTTGCTGGGGCTGACACATGATCCTAAACTACAAGTTCTCCTTTTTCTGTTTTTGTTCCTCACCTACGTGTTGAGCGTGGCTGGGAACCTCACCATTATCGCTCTCACGCTCTTGGGTCCTCATCTTAAAACGCCCATGTACTTTTTTCTCCGAAACTTTTCTTTCTTAGAAGTCTCGTTCACCACTGTATGTATCCCCAGGTTCCTGTACATGATGGCTTCTGGAGACAATACCATTACTTACAATGCCTGCGCTGCTCAGTTGTTTTTCATTGTCTTCTTTGGAGCAACAGAGTTTTTCCTCCTGGCAGCCATGTCCTATGACCGCTATGCAGCCATCTGCAAGCCCCTGCATTACACCAGCATCATGAACAACCGAGTTTGCGCAGCTCTCGTCCTCTCCTGTTGGTGTGCTGGCCTGTTGGTCATCCTCCCGCCTCTTGGCATAGGCCTCCAGCTGGAGTTCTGTGACTCCAATGTGATTGATCATTTTGGCTGTGATGCCTCTCCCATTCTGCAGATAACCTGCTCAGACACGGCGTTTCTAGAGAAAATGGTCCTGGCGTTGGCCATACTGACACTCATCTTCACTCTAACGTGTGTTGTTCTGTCCTACACACACATCATCAAGACCATTTTAAAGTTCCCTTCTGCCCAGCAGAGGAAGAAAGCCTTTTCCACTTGCTCTTCCCACATGATTGTGGTTTCCATCACCTACGGCAGTTGCATCTTCATCTACATCAAGCCTTCAGCAAAGGAAGGGGTGGCCATCAATAAGGTTGTGTCTGTGCTCACAACATCAGTGGCCCCTCTGCTTAACCCGTTCATTTATACACTTCGAAACAAGCAAGTCAAAGCAGCTTTCAAAGACACCGTAAAACGAATTGTATTTCTCACAAAGAAGTAAGTTCCTCAGGCGAACCAAAATTTAATCTAAGTAACCGGCGGCCCTGACAGTGTGTGTCTTCCTCTCATCACATAGATTCATCGAGATAATTTTGCTTTGATAGTTTTCTCTTATAATCCAAAAATGAAAATCATGTAAATTGTTTCACCTTCTTTTAAGTTTATTTTACTTAGAATGGTTTCTCCAATTAGTGTTTTCTTCAAAGATTAGATTACACAAATTACCAATGCCATACAAAAGACATACAAGTAAGAGTTGTGTCTCTGGTGGGATCTAAACACACATGTCTCACTTCTTGGGAATACTTTAACCTCTGCCCTTGACTCAGCAAGGGTCATTAAAGACTCTTCTTTAAAAACCTATACCATGTTTCAATACGATCAAAGTCCCAATGCTAAGGGGTAGCAGCTTTCAGATGTTGATATTTCGCTGGTTTGTATGCTGACAAACCTACCACTGCCTGGAGTGTACCTGTGTTACCCATCCCCCGAATACCAAACATCTTTCCCTCCTGTCATCTCATCTATAACAAACTGGCCACAATCAAAGAACGGAGGCATTTTAGGGATGTTTTATCTGGTGCTACCAGTCTATCAGTATCTGAGAAGTTCATGTGTATCTGTGTGGTGTGCTCCTCTGAAGAGCCCCAATGTGCAAGGTGGTGTTCTCGATCTAAACACCTTATTTAAAAGCAAAAGGAAATGAGACTATTCAGTTAGTTTTGCTGAAAATTTATAAGGAAGGAGAAAGCAGGGACCTGAACAATCTTTTGAGATGGACCTTTAGTTGAGCTATCTTGGCGACAAAGATGCGTGTTATTGAATATGTGGGAATAAAGATGAAAGATCAAGGTACTTGCTTAGATGTGTGTGAGGATTATGTGCATTAGTGATTAACTCGGAGTTACCAACAATGCACTGGTGTCAGATTAAGGGAAGAAATAGAAACACTTTCCCTTGTCATGTAGACGAGAACAAGTTCAAATCTGAACTCTCCACATCACACTCCCTGTATCTTCCATTGTCTGTCTGTCAGTTACATTGGTATACATCTGTGTCTGCACCAGTATCTGTGTCTGTCCCTGTGTGTGTGTGTCTGTCTGTCTGCCTGTGTGCTGTCTGTTTCTTTCTGTATGTGTCTCTGTGTCTGTGTGGTTCTCTGTCTCTCTGTCTCTCTCTGTCTCTCTCTCTGTCTCTGTCTCTGTCTCTCTCTCTCTCTCTCTCTCTCTGTGTGTGTGTGTGTGTGAGAGAGAGAGGAGCTGTGTTCCTGTATATGCTGTGTGTGTCTGTTATATGTCTGTCTGTCTGTCCGTCCTAACAGAGGGCTTCACTCTGAATTTATTGAACAACACAGAAACATCGCATGGGGAAGGAATGGGATACTTTCCAGAAAATTTTAGCTGAGGTTTAAAGGGATTAAGTCACTGGCTCCATCTGATCCCAACCAACCCACGTAATATTGTTTATAATCAATATCCATAAATGGCTGCTTTCAAACTTAATGGTAGATTTCAGGAAGTTTGTTTACAACTTATGTTTGCTGTTTTCAGAAAATGATACACATGCGTTATCTGGGTCAGGGGCATAGGCGAGTACATGGCTTAAAATTGCAACTATGCATTAGCTTAGGTTGTAAAAGTCAACTGCATAGAAAATCCAAGCAAGTACGGTTGGTCTTACATTGTTCTCTCAAAGGCAGTTTAATCAAACAGTTTGAGCACACAGAAGGATAACAGTCTTAAGTCTTAAGCTACTTCAAGTTCTATTATTAACCCTAGCTGTGAGGTCTAGCAAAAGTTCCAGGCTCTGAGGATGCAAGAGGTATTTTCAGAATACTGCATCATCACATGCAAAGTGGTCTATGAAGAAAACAACTTGACGTGTTCCTATCTTTAATTCCTGAAGCCTGTGCCTCATGTAAGCATTTTCTGTGGTGGAATACTAGTATTCTTATTTTTTTTTCTGGGGAAACTGAAAATCATGGCTAGGTTTGGGAAGGTGAGATGAGAACCAGTAATCATCATGAAAATAACTCAGATCAAATTGTTAAAATGCTATAAAGTGATAAAGTCTTCTCATTGTTTATGTGTTTTCTAATCGTGGAAATAAAGTTTTGTGCCTTAATAGTGTGCACACAGCTATTATTTATTCCTACCAAACATCTTCTAATCGCTCAGGTATATTCCAAGTAAGATCATAGACATATTAAAGGTATAACCCTTCTTTTCTTTTCTTTTTTTTTTGCAATAGCAAGAGGAATTTTTATGTTGCTGCTGCGGCAGATGTCCCTCAGCCTCGAGAGGAGAAGGACCCCTGCTTTTTCTATTACAGTCTCCTTTATTTTTTTTTTGAGTTTATTTTTTTCTTTTTCTTATTTATTTATTTATTTATTAAGATTTCTGTCTCTTCCCCACCGCCGCCTCCCCCAATCAAGTCCCCCTCCCTTGTCAGCCCAAAGAGCAATCAGGGTTCCCTGCCCTGTGGGAAGTCCAAGGACCACCCACCTCCATCCAGGTCTAGTAAGGTGAGCATCCAAACTNGAATAAAAAAAATAAAAACAAAAAATTAAATAAATCTAAACAGTCGATAAAAATAAAAATAATGGGAAAAATACAATCTGGTATTTCTAGTGTCTTTAAAATGTTTAAAATTCCTAGTGTCTTTAAAATGTTTAAATTTTTTAATGGGTATGCTACTAAAAACCAAATGATAAAATTAAAGTATAAAGGAAAGAGGAGAGACAAATCTATTTTAAAAGATTAACAAAATATTCAGTCAGCAAGGTCACTCTTTTGAAATTTAGGAAATCTATCCCAAACAACTTAAAAATAAAGAACTTTTTCCACAACAAAATGTTCAGACAAAGGCAGTCTAGTTCGGAGAGAAAAGTGGCTTTAAAACAGACAACTGCACATTAAGTATTTTCAAAACTAATTTTCTTTGCTTCTGTTCCCTCTTTTCTTTATATTAATCTGTGTTTTCTAGACTCTGGGTGATTTCAGAGTCTAGCTGAGGATATGCCACTTGAGGTTTCAAGGTTACTTCTATGGTGGGCTTTTAGCATAAGAAATAGATTTGTGTATTTTCCTTGATTTTGACAACATTTACTAATGAGTTTCACAAACATTTAATGTTTGGAAAAATGAAATATAAAACATTTTATCACATAAAACAATTCATAATTATAGAATTTAACATTACATGTAGTGTTATTAAAAACTAATTATTATACATATTTCTTTTCTTTCACTTTAGTTTTTTTTTTAAAGGGTTTCTCTGTAGTTTGGAGTCTGACCTTGAACTTGCTCTTGTAGACCAGGCTGGCCTCAAACTCACAAAGATCTGGCTGCCTCTGACTCTTGTGTGCTGCTGGGATTAAAGGCATGTGTCACCACCACTCAGCTCCTATACATATTTCTTATAAAGGGGTATTCATATAAATTTAATGAATATAATTTTAAAGTTACAGAATACTTTTGCAGTCACTACATCCAAATGTTCCTAGAAAACAAGCGTCTAAATTTTTTTATGACAGAAAACAAGCCTTTTTATGGAGATAAATGTACTTCAGCCATTTATGTATGATTTGTCAGAAAACAGAACCTCTGTATCGAGTTCTGAAATAAAATCTTTCATTGGAACAAAGAAAGAGCACAAGAATGAACATGAAGGTGGAGGGGGGATAGAGAGGCTGGGAGGATGTGAGAAAAAATGGGGGAGGGGAAACATGATCAAAATACATTGTATTAAAAATATAAAAACCAAAAAGAAAAACAATAAAAGCACAGTTAATAAATTAAAAATGATAAAGAATGCATTTGAACTTGCTGCGTAATGGAAAGCAAGGAAGAATCACATCAAATCGTATTCTGCAGAGAGGAAATGGGATGGGGTGGCTGCTTACCTGGAAACTGCTACCACTCTCAAGAAGTTACAGAAATTTCTCCCAAGATCTAAGCCATCATCAAAACACTCATGTTCCTTTGAAGATAATTTAGAATCTTTCTCCTTATAAGGTGTAAGCAAGCCCGGAGAGCAGGCAACTGTGTCTCTCCAGCCTTAGAAGTAAGTAATACTGCCCTTTTAGATGGGAAATATGACCTATAGCTCCTGGTACTCAAAATTCTTATTAATGTGGATTTAATAATGTGTTTTCAATTCACAGCAGAGAGTGCAGATGAAGCCATGAGGAGAGTCATTCTAGAAACATCGCTATAGACAACCTGATGTTCTACTTTTCTTCATTCGTCATCCAGAGAACCCACCTCAGAGTAGCAAATGCACCCCTTTTAAGAAAGAGGCAGGAAACTTAGTTTAAGGCCAGTTTCAAAAAAAAAAAAAATCACAGTATGGAAAATCATCCTGGGTTTGCTTTACGTAAGATGCTATATTCACTACAAAGTAGGGAGCTTGCAAAAGAGCCCACAGTCATAATTCATTTACAAAACAGAATTTAGAACCAAAATACAATAATATGCATTTTATCATCATGTATTTACTATATGTTAATCTGTATTTTTAATTATTTAAATAAAAATATTCTATGAAATTTAAGTAAAAATAATTGAAAAATTTTCCTATTCGAGTGTTATATTGGCATGTCAATTGAAATATATTAGAATTGATTTACGACTTGAAAGTGCTTACTAAATTATTAGCATTATTAATATTCATGGACTTTTCTCTGTGCTGTTTCATAGACATATACAGCAGGGTCTTCCAGAGTGGTGATTTATAGAAAATTTGGAAAGCTAAGCATTTAGAGCTTAAATAAACAACTTTGTGCATTTGTTTAATAAAATTTGACCATAAAAACTTAACACAATATACAGAATTACATTTTAAATTAACATCACTCCCTAATTGAGAGCTCTCCAAATACCTGCTAGATGCATTTTATTACATACCATCTTTATGATAATTATAATGTATTATGAAATGTTTCATAATTTAAGCTAATATGACACTCACATATAATGTATAAACATATAATCACAAATA